AGTTATTTTTCCCGTATAAAAATCGACCCACTAAACTTAGAATCTCACAACCGTGAGTTCCCCAATCAAAAGTTCAGGCAAATCGGATATGGGGTTTATGAGTTATGATCGTACAGAAAAACAGATTACAACTTTATATAGATATATATATGCCGTTTTAAAATAATTTAGTAAACTTTTAAATAATCAAAATATTTTCATCGCAATTAAATTTCAGGAAGTATTAAAATGTATAAACATTAGCAATTATTTTTTTTACAAGTCAGTTTTTAAATAATCAAACACAATCTAACTGCATATGGACTTTTCCAGCCATATTACAGGTTTTAAACATATTCTCGATATTTCTAGTGGACTTTGACATTCACCATTAGCAAAGGGTGTATAACCCATTCTCGTTTACTGAATATTAATATTATTCTTGTCATTTTTTATTCAGATATATTTGTTTCTGCAAAGTTGGTTTTTTTACCATTTATGATGACTAAAAATACAGCATGAAAGTATTTTTTGTTCATACCTTTAAATTATACTTGTAATTAATATATAGTATGTGTTATGTGCTTTATGTGCAGTGTAAACTGTCTAGGGTCTGGAGAAGGTTGGTGGAAGCTGTCGTATGACTGATATTCAAAGTGTACTCAACAGTACATATATCAAGCCGGTTGCCAAACAAACCCTGGAAATATTGTACAAAGCTGCTGGGTCCAATCAGAGTTCAGACAAAACTGTTAAAACCAATAAGAGCTCCAGTAAAGATTTAGGGTAAGGAAAAGATTAAGACAAATAGCTGGAGTAAAGTGCGTCTTTTGGTTTTACTTAAAAAATTACTGAATTTGGTCTTAAATATCTTTCAACTCTAATATTATTCCAAGTATAGATGTTAGCCTAACCAAAATTACTTCATACTAAATTATTATTAGGTTTGTGTACCTTTAATCGTGAAATTGTTTTCTTCACTCAGTGTATTGTAACATTTACAGGACATTAAAAAACAAATATGCAAAATAATGCATTTTTGAAATTTTAGAGCTAAGAAATGCAGTTAAGAGCTAAGCCTTGGAGGGTTTATTTATTGTTTTTGAATTTTTTTATTTCCTCCAGTAGTTTCTCCATATAGATCTTTAGTAGCTCCTAAAGCGACAATGTTGTATATTGTGTTGCATATTAAAAGTTATGCATACTACAAAACTATTTTAATATTTTTTCGTAAGTTGCGGTATTTGGTTATGCATAAGATTGCGGGATTTAGTTTTAGTTACGTTAAAATAATACAGCACAAAAGTTGATTTTCAATTAAAAAATGTGGGGTCTAGTTTGCCCAAATATTCTGTTGTGAGCAAGCTATGGGAAGCCACTGAAAAGTTCCCAGGGATGACATATATGTGCAAAGTCCTTTGCAAGAACTGGATTGTTTCCTTGGAATGAACACCCTGAGCAGCTTTATGTTCCGCCCCTCGTTGAACAGCTTGATGATTCTCTCCTCGCTGAGCAGCTTGAAGATCCTCCCCTCGCTGAACAGCTTGATGATTCTCCCCTCGCTGAACAGCTTGATGATCCTCCCCTCGCTGAACAGCTTGATGATCCTCCCCTCGTTGAACAGCTTGATGATTCTCCCCTCGCTGAACAGCTTGATGATCCTCTCCTCGATGAACAGCTTGATGAGTCTCCCCTCTCTGAGCAGCTTGATGATTCTCTCCTCGCTGAGCAGCTTGATGATCTTCTCCTCGCTGAGCAGCTTGATGATCTTCTCCTCGCTGAGCAGCTTGATGATCTTCTCCTCGCTGAGCAGCTTGATGATCCTCTCCTCGTTGAACAGCTTGATGATCTTCTCCTCGCTGAGCAGTTTGATGATCCTCTCTTCGCTGAGCATCTTAATGATCCTCTCTTCGGTGAACAGCTTGATGATACTCAATAATAAAAGAATAAGAAAGATTTATGTTGGAGAAAAGGTTGTCAACTTTTATTGGTGCTTGGAGTGATTAAATATATTAAATATTAAAATAAAATAATTTAATTTTTTTCTAAAGTTCATTCTTGTCGGATTTGGGTGTTTATTTTTGTTCGTGTTTTTTTAAGTGAAAACAATTTAATCTTTTTTTGAAAAATAGTGTTGTTATAAACATTTTTACTGTACCAGCTTAAAAATAACGGAATTTTATAACCAACCTAAGTGAAATATGTATCCAAATACAGCAATTTGATATGCTCTAAAGCAACCTGTGTATCTGAAGCAATGATGAATCATTTCCATTTTTCTTACTTTAATAGCTTCGATGTATGTTTTTTTAAACAATTTGTGTTTAAATATATTTAATTAAGTAATTGACTATTTATAATATATATCAAAAACAAACCAAATTATGCGTTTCAGGAGAAAATATTTAAAAACCTCCATAAAAAAATGTTTATGGGGAAAAATTGTTTAAAACTGCATTTCCAGTACTGGTACAAATTTTCAAGCATTACAATAATTGTTGTTGCTCTGGGGAAGAAAAATTAGAGATCAAAGCGCAAGTTTTTCAATTTTATCTAAAAATCATTTTTTCTTCACAATTCAGCGAATAAACCTTAAAAATTAATGTTTGCGCTCTAAGCTAACATGCCTAACATCGGGGGGNAGTGAAGGCGACTGAAAATAATTTTTAAAGAAAATATACAACTCTTTAGCTAGATTAGAGCAGACTCTACAAAATCTTCCGCTGGTGGTTCATGGAATAAATTTATATGCTAGGAACATCTTCATTTATAAAATACTTAATGTACATTTAGCATGATCTTGAAGGCAACTTGACGCTAAAATTTGAGCAGAAGGGGGGAGGGGGGCAGATCAATTTATCGCGATTGTTTTCTGGCTGGTAGAGTTACGTGTTTGAGTTAAATGGTAGCAAAATGACTTCTGTTAATCTACCTTGATTGGTATTAATTACGTTAGAAATGAATTTGTTTTTAAAACTTGTTCTGAGAAATAAAGTGGTTTAATTTCAGAGGTTTCTTGCTCTGCTCGGTTATTGAGAAAATATGTACAGGAATGGGTTAATGCTGAATGCTGTGTACAGAAACCTCTTCTATAAATTTAGAACCAGGATTGTTTCCAAATTATAGGTTTTTTAGGTCTGTCTTTAGGCCTTTGCTAATCCTGTGACAACCCCCCCCCCCCCTTAAGAATCAATATATAATGAAATGGTTCCTAAAGGGTTCTAGCAGGGATAGATACTTCTCATTCGTCATCTGGTTCAGGGCTGAGGACAGCAGAAAAATCTACAGCTGCTCAGGACTCAAGGTTTTCCTGTTTTTCAAATGTGTGTTTTTTTTGATATATTTTGATATATTTTGTTTTTTGGGTCATCAGAGTTATTTTACTTTTTAATTACAATAGTATGCACATAACAATGTTCATATTGGTTTTACTGATTTTTTATTGTATTTTTAGAATGCTTAGTTGGATTAGATTTTTTATTTAATTTCTAATCTTTTGTTGCAAATTAAATGAACATTGTACATTTTATTTGATTTTAGATTTTTAGTTATTGGATTAGATATTTGACTTTAAGGATGTATTTTTTTTGTCGATTGGAGTTGATTTTTTAATGTCTGTTAAAAGTTTTAATTTGAGATTGAATATTATAGTATGGTTGGGTATACTCTGGAATTAAACCCTGAGGTTGGATCTCTTGACCTCCTTCACCTGGATATTACTAACGAGGCTGTCCTCCGTGAACGATTGTTAAGGAAGGTTCCCATTGAGATCAAACATCCTCCACCACCTAGGAATATTATCTAATTTACTGACATGGCAACTTGGAAAGCTTTAAATGACTTTTAATTTTTTTTAAATATAATTATTTTCTAATTTCCCCAATTGATGTATTCCAGTAGAGTTGAACCAGATAAAGGATCTAAGGTTGAAGTAAAGCTCCTGGATTCCTCTAGAGAGAGAAGAGTTCCAGCAACCAGACTATCTAGAGTTTTCTCCTTCGGATCCCTAGGAGTAGGTTTAGGTAGGAGACACTATCAAAAAACTTCTCATAATTATAATATTTTGTCAAGGAAATAGTTCCAAATATTCAAATTTTAGTAATGTAAATTTCGCTTTATCTTAATAAAATTACGCGCTTATTTTACATGGATTCCCAAGGGCAACCCTCTTCGCGTCTTGTGTTTAAGTATGTAAATAAATATTAACTGTACCTCCAGGTTTGGGAGTGATGGCTGAAGCATCAAGAAGAGCAGTTGGGATTAGACCTTCAGGTTCCTCTGGAGCAAAGCTTGAAGATAGCATGGTCCTAACAGAAGCAAATGCTGAACGGATTGTTTCTACACTTTGCAAAGTAAATATATTTTAAAGAGACTGTCTGCTTAATTTAAAGTGACTCTCAATATTGAGAGTTACCTGGCCGTTACACAAGCAACTGTTCCCTTAAATTCTATGTCTGAGTCAAAAAAAAAGTTTTAGATATCCTCGTTTTTTCCATCTGAAAATTGGCACTTTGCAATTGCAGTATTACTGTAAAAGTGACCTGCGGATTTGTGCAGCAGATACAAAAAAATGATTTTGACAAAATTTATCTCTTTACTTAGTAGAAAACCGACGATATATTCCTAACATAAGCTAAGCAAAAGGCTTTGTAAATCTGGCATGTAACTTATTCAGATATTGTAGGTACGAGGTGCTGCTTTAAAACTTGGACAAATCTTGAGTATTCAAGATAACGCCATCTTGTCTCCTGCTCTGGCGGCCATCTTTGATCGTGTTCGGGAGTCAGCTGATTTTATGCCACTTTGGCAGGTATGCAGTATGCACCTTCGTTGACTGTCGTTATATCCTTACCTATATCCCATAATTTTTATCATTCATAATTCCTCAATTATCATATTCCATTTAGTTTTTCATATTTCATCTTATTTATTAATTTCCTCATATTCTATTATAATCCGCAATCCACATATTCCATCATATTTCATCACATTCCATCAGATCCATTAATTTCCATCCAATTTTCTCATGTTTCCTTTTATTCTATCAGTTTTCCTCCCAATAATACTTTGTCCTTCACTTATATGATTTTAAGGGTTTACAGGCAAGTTATCTACTTTCTGCTTTAAATCTGTCTCTATATTTATCATTTATATTTGTCTAAAGCAAAATTTCATTAAACAATATAAAAGTTTACAAACTAATACTATTTTCTCTGGATATCGCATTTTATAATTGACAGGGTTNCTAGGAAGTAGAAGTTTACCAAGGAATTTCTGTTCTTCTTGAAATATATTTGGAATTTCAGTTTCACCAATAGTAAAGTTTATTCTGCTAGGTACACCTGATCTGATGGAAAATGAACTACATTTTGCTGGTTTTAATCTCATTCCCATACTTTCAATCTTGGATTTTATTTCATTTTGAATTTTTGATGTTTTCTCAGATCTGTTGTTATCAGGCAAAAATCGTCAGCATATGGCAGAGTTATAATTTTCTCTTCATTCAGATTAAATCCACAATCATTCTTACTCTGTAGAAATTCAATGATTGGATTGAAAACCATCAGAAATATGATGGGACTAAGCGGGTCACCTTGAAATACTCCTCTTTTAAAGGGGAATCCATCAGTAGAGAAGTTGTCCTTAAATACACGTGAAAGTTGGTTAATGGTTATTATACAGGGTGTTGATATAAAGCTGAATTTCTGCAGGAACATTAAACCTTTTCAGGGTATGTATTATGAGAGGGTGCGGCACTGAACCAAATGCATCTTCTAAATCGAAAAATGTTACATGGACCGTTTTCTTGTTTGTCTTTGCTTGGCTTATAATCTCTTCAAGGACGACATTATACTCAATAGTGCCATTAATGCCGGGCAGAAAGGCCTTCTGTACTTTCTCGTCAATATAATTTGTTATTTACTTCCTGCTTTAAATCTGTTTCTATTTCAATGTTTTCTATTCTGAAAGTATACCTCTCTCTGCCTTCCTTGATACACACAAATTACAAAAACTAAACTATGATCTTGTGTCCAGAAATATAGAGCGTATGTATATGTTATCATCTTTTAACTTGTTTTGTTAAGTTAGAGAAGGTTATGGTTGGTCAGCTGGGAACAGATTGGGAATCTAAATATTCGGAGTTTCAAACTAAACCCTTCGCTGCAGCTAGTATTGGACAGGTTCACTTTGCATCTCTTCATGATGGAACCAAGGTACTTATTTTTTACGTCAAAGACGACATTCTCCTCGGATTAAAACATCGACATTGAACAATGCAAGAGTCTGATGTGATGTGATGTGATGTGATGTGATGTGATGTGATGTGATGTGATGTGATGTGATGTGATGTGATGTGATGTGATGTGATGTGATGTGATGTGATGCGGTTTGTCCCCTATAGAGGCAGGGAAGATGCTTGGTATAATTTAAATGTATTCCTTTTAAGAATATCTATATTTTGATCAAATGTTTAATAATTTTAAGATGAAAATAATAGTATCCAGTATCCACGGTAGCTAAATCTATCTTTAGTATCTCTAGTATTTTTTAAGGTTGCTGTGAAAGTCCAGTATCCACGGTAGCTAAATCTATCTCTAGTATCTCTAGTATTGATTAAGGTTGCTGTGAAAGTCCAGTATCCAGGGGTAGCTAAATCTATTGACAGTGATATCAGTAATCTTATGAGTTTACTCTCTATAGTGGCAATCCTACCGCAGGGACTCTTTATAGATAATATTGCAAAGCACATGAAACAAGGTCAGAATTTTTAATTTATTTTATTTTTGATAAAAAGAAGTTTTACATTAACCCTTTCCCCAAAAACTAATACAAATTTTCAAAAGTCCTAAAATTCTGTGACTGCTTAAACAGAAGAAAAGCCTTATTTTTTTGGGGGGGTGGGGAAAGAGTGAGTTGTCAAGTCAGATAACTAGATTCTTGCCAATTCAAAATAATAAAAGTTAAGATTATTTCGATCTAGATTCTCATATTTTGACGATTCATTTGATATTTGTTTAATTTCGGTAGAACTTGCGGAGGAATGTGATTATAAAAGAGAAGCAGAATGTGGAAGAAGGATGAAGGAAAACTTATCTGTTTACCCAGAGTATTATGTCCCAAAGGTAAGAACACAATGGAAACCTATCTGTTTACCCAGAGTATTATGTCCCAAAGGTAAGAACACAATGGAAACCTATCTGTTTACCCAGTGTATTATGTCCGAAAGGTAAGAACACAATGGAAACCTATCTGTTTACCCAGAGTATTATGTCCCAAAGGTAAGAACACAATGGAAGCCTATCTGTTTACCCAGTGTATTATGTCCCAAAGGTAAGAACACAATGGAAACCTATCTGTTTACCCAAAGTATTATGTCCCGAATGTAAAAACACAATGGAAATCTATCTGTTTACCCAGAGTATTATGTCCCAAAAGGTAAGAACACAATGGAAACCTTTGTTTACCCGGAGTATTATGTTCCAAAGGTAAGAAAACAATGAAAACCTATCTGTTTACCCAGATTATTATGTCCCAAAGGTAAGAACACAATGAAAACCTACTTGTTTTACAGAGTATTCTGTCCCAAAGGTAAAAACACAATGTAAACCTATCTGTTTACCCAGAGTATTATGGATCCTCAAGGTAAGAACACTATGGAAACCTATCTGTTTACCCAGAGTATTATGTCCCAAAGGTAAGAACACAATGGAAACCTATCTGTATACCCAGAGTATTATGTCCCAAAGGTAAGAACACAATGGAAATCTATCTGTTTACCCAGAGTATTATGTCCCAAAGGTAAGAACACAATTGAAACCTATCTATTTACCCAGAGTATTATGTCCCAAAAGGTAAGAACACAATGAAAACCTTTGTTTACCCGGAGTATTATGTTCCAAAGGTAAGAAAACAATGTAAACTTATCTGTTTACCCAGAGTATTATGTCCCAAAGGTAAGAACACAATGGAAACTTATCTGTTTACCCAGAGTATTATGTCCCAAAGGTAAGAACACAATGGAAACTTATCTGTTTACCCAGAGTATAATGTCCCAAAGGTAAGAACACAATAGAAACTTATCTGTTTACCCAAAGTATTATGTCCCAGAGGTAAGAACACAATGAAAACCTATCTGTTTACCCAGATTATTATGTCCCAAAGGTAAGAACACAATGAAAACCTATTTGTTTTACAGAGTATTCCGTCCCAAAGGCAAGAACACAATGGAAACCTATTTGTTTTACAGAGTATTTTGTCCCAAAGGTAAGAACACAAAGGAAACCTATCTGTTTACCCAGAGTATTCTGTCCCAAAGGTAAGAACACAACGGAAACCTATCTGTTTACCCAGAGTATTATGTCCCAAAGGTAAGAACACAACGGAAACCTATCTGTTTACCCAGAGTATTATGTCCCAAAGGTAAGAACACAATGGAAACCTATCTGTTTACCCAGAGTATAATGGATCCCCAAGGTAAGAACACACTATGGAAACTTATCTGTTGGCCAATGGCTAAGAACATCATGTTGAATAAATTAAGTACCAATTATTATTTTTTTATGTTAGTCCAAGAAAATATTAGCATTTGATACTTAACACCTAACATAACCGTTTGTTTACCCTGTAAAGGTGTACCTGGATCTATCTACCGATCAAGTTCTAACAACTGAATATATTACCGGTTTAACAATCGACCGTTGTGTTGATTTACCGGCCGAAACAAGAAACTACATTGCTGAAGCTATTCTTAAACTTGTCTTCAGGAAACGCAAGATAATTTAAAAAAGAATTTTTTTAACTCGTCAAATTATTCTAGTTTTTTTTTAATGCTGAGTAGAAATCTAACTTCTTAATTCATAACAAATGTTTTAAATTATCTTTACTGTAAAAGCAAAAGATTTTAGCTAACTTAAAGTTAGAATCTTGTGGATGGATTTAGGGAGCTCTTCTTGCATAGATATATGCAAACAGACCCAAACTGGGCAAACTTCCTCTTTAACCCTGAAACGAACAAGATCGGACTTCTTGACTTCGGCGCAACCCGGGAGTTTGGTGTCGACTTCGTCAATACTTATTTTAAAATCATCGACGCGGCAGCAAGGAAAGACCAGGAAAGTGTGTTGAAATGGTCCAGAGAGATTGGATTTTTGACAGGGTCGGAGTCAAAAGCGATGAACGAAGCCCACGTGAACTCTGTGATGCTTCTTGCTGTTCCGTTCCACAACGACGCCATTTTTGATTTTGGCAAGCAAACAATTACTCAAGAAATACAGGTAGCATAGGATTTCTTATTTCATCAAAAATGCAGTTTTAAACAAATGTTACTGACTTCTTTCTAAAACATGAATTAGGAGTTGTCTGGTGTTATGTTGAAGGAACGATTATGCCCTCCCCCTCCAGAAGTTTACAGTCTTCACAGGTAAGAAAATGTCTACTACACTACACTACACTACACTACACTACACTACACTACACTACACTACAGCTGTTTCATTTATTTTTTATTTTTTTATTTATTTATTTATTTGTCTATTAATATTCTGAGTATAATTTCTATTATTTACTTCTTATTTGTCGGAGGGAACAACGAAATATTTCATGTGGCAGTGAATTTAGAGTGATGACTGTATTGTTCTATTTTAGCTAGCTTTATATTGGATTATAGTATTTGTTCTTCAGATCAGACTTGGCTGAATTGTCCCTTATGCCAGAAGAGTTAAATTATGAAATGAATATTTGGTTTGAAAATTTAAACTGATTTCCGTCCCATCACATCATCCTTTATCTCTAGGAAGTTATCCGGTCTGTTCTTGTTAGCTGGGAAGTTGGACGCTAAGTTTAACTGCTATAATATTTGGAACGACATCAGGAAACTTTACTTACCCTTCATACAAAGGAACCGAAATTTATCAACAAAAAGATGAATGAAAAAGTTACATGTTTTAGCTTTTTACTTTATTGTCTTTTTTCTTTTTTTCTGAAGTTATGGGGTGAACGTAATTTTTTTAGGAGTCGGTTCAAACCTTTTGAAAAAACAATGACAAGCTGATACCGGACTACCTACCCACCCTCCTCCACATGACATTTCATTTAATTAGATTTTAAATTCTAGTCAAAATTATTCTATTATGAATTCTCAATTGCATTTTCATATTTTCAGATTAATCTATCCTTGGACAAATATATGTACTGTTTATCCTTAGACAGTACAAAAAGTCCTGATTAACCTTGGACTGTAGAAAACAGTAAGAAGTACAGTACAACAAGTACTGATTAATCTTGGACAGTTCAATAAAACTTGTACTGTTGATCCTTTGACAATTAAGTACAATAAGCCTGTTAATCCATCGACAATAAAGTACAATAAGCGCCTTCGGACTGAACAGTACAATATGTTTGGCTAATTCTTGGACAGCAAAGTGCAACAATTGTTTATCTGTGGGACAGTACTGAACAACAAATCTTGTACTAAAAATTAACCCTGAACCTGAACCCTGAACCTGATGTTACGATGGAGAAGAGAGGAAGAAGAGGAAGGAAACCTAGTGTTGCATATTCTCTACAGTCTGGAGTATCTGGACTAGCATGCCAAGTCCTTTATTGTGGGAGAAGGTATGCAGAACCTTAAAGGGACTCTTTAAGTATAATTTTCAGTAGCCCTCCATGCTAAGATATTTCTAATTTTGAAAACTGATTATTTTTAATTGTTGTTTCTCTACACAAAATAAATAGTTATAAACCTAGAAATATCTAAATATTTTCCTCATTATTGATCAGATAAAGGTTTCAAGAGTATCGTTGTGAATCTTTTATTGCTATCTTTACATGGAGGGTCACTTGTAATTATGATTGCAGGATCTTAACTTATCAATATTTATCTTTCTTTTTATTGTTGCCATTTTCAAAAAGCATTACCTCTTTGTTTATCATTAAACAATTTTCCAAACTCCTGTTTAAGCTGAGCTTTTCTAGTTTACGAGAAACAAAGTTAATCCTAGTCAGGTTGAAACTTCCCAGTTCCCATGGGTCAAGTTAACTCCAATAATAATTGTAAATGTAAATTTAAATTAATAACTACACTTAAATTTTCTCTTTTTTGGAGTTGATTTAAATAAATAAAACAGTCACTTTTCAATCTTCTAAGAAAATTTGCTTGAGTTAAAAAATCATTATTAATACGTTGTCTCGAACACTTTGGAATAAAGCTTGAAATAAAAGAATGATTTTTTTTCTTCAGTTTTGAAAATCCAGTTGAGCTTGAGCGCCATCATGTTTTCCACCTTGAGCAGGAGTTCAAGGATATCGACAAGGTTAGGATTAGGAGGGTTCGAGGAGAGCGTGGAGAAGTAGGTTCCAAACTCAGAAGGTTGAGATCTGAAACCTACTCCAGGCTGAAGGAGAGAAGAGAGAGAAGGAGGTTGTTGTCTTCAAGTTTAGGACAACCAGGTTTGGGATTTAAGTTCATCAGAGATTTTTTTAAATGTTAAATTCCAACAATGTATCCAAATGTATGGAAAGTATTAGGACAATGATTAAAAGTTGTGTTGGGTCTATTTTTAACCTTAAATAATAATGACACAACCACTTATGTAGTTGATTTGAAAAAATTGATATACTTTTTTCAATTTTCAAAAGTAGAAGATTATGTATAATTTATCAAAACAAAATGAACATTGAACATAAAAGAGATAAATAAGAAAACGTTTTGCTTTGGGAATGGGGACATTATTTGAGAAGAGAATATGCCTTAAACATTAACCTTAAGTGTTTACTGTACGTGTATGGAATCCTTAATAATCATGTTAATTGTTCAGGCATTACTGTGTGTCAGGTTTGTTGTGAAAATATTGAAGGATCTCTGGAGGATCATTGTCAACATGTGAAATCCTGTCTTCAGGTTCCCAGGTAGGTTGAAGGATCTTTGTCAGCATGTGAAATCCTGTCTTCCGGTTCCCAGGTAGGAGAAGGTAGAGAAGGATCATATTCAGCATGTCAGAATAAGAACTCCCATCTGAAGGTCCCCAGGTAGGATATCTTGAGGTTCATTGTCAGCGTGAGAGTTGCTGATAGATCGTTGTCAGCGTGAAAAGGTATTTTTTCTTAAAATAAAGTGAATCTTGCACAATTAGGTGTTCACTATTAAATTATTTTATCTGTACGAATTCAAGTAATTGAATGTACTTAAAAGTACAATACAATTCAATACAACAGTGCAATAAAAATACATGTTTAGGACTGTTGAGAATTCTGAAGAAGAATATGTATATGTAGAGGATTATGAGGAATATGAGTGGGCGGGACAATCTAGAATAAGAGTCAACACCCTTCTGTCTGGCGGGCTGGCAGGTGCAGGCTTCCTAACAATTCAGAGGACAGATGAGACGGAGGAGTTGGATGTGACCGGGGAGGAGGTTGAGTTGGGTCCCGAGCAGTACAATGAGAACAGTTTAGTTCAGGCTTCTCGTCAGGAGGATGAAGATAAACTTGATCAATCCTACTCCGGGTCTAGTACTGATATACCTGAAACTATATCTAAAAACTCTCAACCTCTGTCGGAAAACACCCTTCCTAAACCAAAACAAGATGTGAATAAAGTTGAAAAACTTAAAAGTGAAATTTCGCGACTGGAAGCGGTAACTCGCGAATTGCAGGATATGAGCACATGCCGCGTATGTTTAGATAAATATGTGCGCCACGTGGTGAGCACTGCTTGCTGGCACGTGCATTGTGAGGCGTGTTGGCTTCTCACTCTAGCATCTAAGGAATATTTCACAAATTAATTTTTTTAATGCACCTTTTCATTTTATTAATTATTAAAAAGATAGTTTTGAATAATCTAATTTCAAATTGTGATTTAATTTTGCAGAAACTATGCCCGCAGTGCAAGACAATTGTTAAACCTTCAGATCTTCGTCGAATTTATTTGTAGCCAGGGTTCAGCTGAACCTTCAAAATATTAGAATAACAATATCAGTACAAAGCCTCAGATGCCATTTAGTTCGCTAAAATATATTACTCTACACTTAAGGCAAAATTTAGATTCTAACGATGGAATTTGGAAATACAATAGAAAGATTATTTAAAATTTTGCATCTTCATCTCTGAAATCTTCTGTAAGAGCCAAAGTTTTCCATAATGAATCAATTTAAAACAAGTAGTTAAGTCTCCCAGGAAAGTCAAATAAACTTTAAATGGTTTAAAGCTTGTGCATAACTATCCATGAATGGCATTATTTGAGTAAACCATGTATCCTATGTTTGGACAAATGTCTCAATTTGAATACATTTTAAAATTTGGATATTTGTATGAATAATCTGAATGTCGTCTGCTTTGTTTTCTTCTTGAGCCTTTAACTCTGTTTGCAAAGAGACTGATATATTTCTTACTTAACACCCCCAATGCTTAGTTTCCTTTACATGAGCTCTTGTATTGTTAACATCGAGTTTAATGCTTGATCTCCATTTTATTTATTTATCTGCAGATTAATTAAATCTTTACTCGATATAGCCTACCCAACTAGGGGTTTAAGGGAGCTGTGACCACGGAGGGAATAATCAAAATAAAGACATTGATATCTATAGTTTTTATTGATCTTTAAAATAGAATTTCCAAAGTAGATATCAAGATTAAGTGATTGGGAAAGCTGTTCGCTCATATATATTTATATGTTGGATAAAGTTGGACAAACGTCTGGACCAAATTGGCCCATATGGGTGCCCGGGAGCAACATAGGCTGAAAAAATAGAAATAAATCAAAAATCTCATTTTTTTAATTGGAAATTTGATGGGAATCCTATGTCAATGAATTTTATCTTCAAAATTATCTTGACACTCCCTCTCACTTGATAATTTTTAAATCCTATCCCGATATGTAATTACAAATTATGTGTTCTATCCCAATTGAAGACAACCAGTTGTCCCCCCCCCCTTCCTTCGACATTTAAAAAAATGCATTGTCTCCAGTACTTTCCTTCAATATCTGAAAGAAGCTCAAATAAACTTCAAACTTTATATTGGTTTTTATTTAATATAATGTAACTCGTCAGTACGTCGCAGAGCACCCCTCGCCATTTGAATAGTAATTTTTGTCCTCTCTGTCTCAAGCACATTCTTCAAGCTCAGTCATATAATTTTGTTTGTTTTTTAAAGAAAGTGTACCCCTCCCCCAGGGACCCTTCACTCGCATTTTAATAATGTATTTTTTATCCTCTTTCTCGATATTCTTATCCAATATCTGAAAAGAGCTCAAATATACAGCTTCTCATTTCTTCACTATTGTTTTATGTTTTGTTTGTTTAAAGTAAATATAACTCTTCTTATTTAAATTAAGTTTAGATTGTAAAAATGAATGTTTGTTGAATTAGAATAAATATTATATTCTATGAAAGGACTAGATACTGGATACCTAGAATTTGTTTACTCAAGGATTGTTTGTTTAAGTAATGTTTGTTCTGCCAGCCCTCAAGTGTTTGATGTGTAAACATAGAATACATCACCTGATTTAAACCCCTTGGGAACCGGACAAAGTGTTCTACTTACAGGTAAAAAATAAATTGTACATCAATTACATTTTCACAATAGAAAAACTATCGACTATGTTTGGTAGCGATTAAATCATAATTCTGTAATTACTATAATATTTGGATGAACGAAAAAATATCATATTTTGTTTGACTTGGTAGGAGAAAACTTTTTAATAAAGATCTTCACTTAGAAATTAGCCAAATTGACTGAATTTTTTCAAGGAAACCATTCTGTATCCAGGGGGTAACATCGGCTAAAAACGCTTTAATTTGTTTCCAAAGTGTTTGAAATTTCAACTTGAGCTAGTATATTAAATATATACGAGTTACCATATTGAATCATATTAGGAGTTTGCATAAATAAGTAAATCCTATGCTAAGCTCTGCTGAGTGCTGATGCACATTTTGCTTATGAATAAAACTGTTACATAGGATTAGTGAATTATAGTATAAAGAGGACGGAGTCAGGAACTTTGAATTGGTCGAGCTGAGCTAAGTCGTTTCTAAACCCAACCTCTGTAACTGACCAAAAAAATAATTTTTATACTACAGCCAATCAGGAAGCAAGGAAGAAAAGAAAAATTGAGATTTTCATTCAAGCTAAGCTCGTGAATTTAAAAGATTCCGTTAATGCATACTCTATATTAATCAAAAGTACTGGACTCAAATCAAAGACTTAACTCGAATTTGGTTCTGTAACAAAGATGTTTAAACTGACCACTTGGTGTTATAAATGAGGAATGAGCATGTACAGAAAGTTGAAATGTAAAGATTAAAAAGAACTAAAAATGAAACACTAAGGATGAAGTGATATGAATAAAAATGAAGGTCCAATTGGAATATACAGGATAAAAAATTATGACTTGGGTATGGGTGATTGTTTGGAAATTTTGAATGTGTTATACGAATGACAAGGGTGGAATAAAAGGATTGGAAAAAAATGGAATATTATGAATGTGCGTGAATGACTAATTGGAATAAAGAATAAAAAACTAAAATATAATATGTGAATGGATGACTAATTGGAATGAAAGGATGGATGGAGTAAATAAATCATGGCTCTGGGTGTCCTGCCAAGCACAGATAAAAGGTCTGGACCCGTCTCTGGATATAAATCATCGAGCATCTTATTTATTTATTTTTTATCCAAACATTCAATATTCTCGTTCTCTCCAAACCTCTCTATCTATGTGTACCTGTAACAATGACTGTAACTGCAACTGTATATAACCCAGTGAGATAAAAACAACTTTGAAAGTTTGTCATTAAAGTTTTGGAGACCCTCGAGTGCCTGAACGCCTTGGCCTTTGGTTTCACCTCCCCAACTTATACTTTTTTGTACTCCTAGAGATAAATATTTTAAGTTATATAATAATTAAATGCTACATACTGTTAAATTTTTGCGTGTAAGCTTGTAATGCATCTATGCAGGATATCTATGTTATAAAGCTCTTCGTTCATATTCATGTATTTATGCTGCTATAGCTGGTCAAACGGCTAAACCAAATGGACATTTTTTTAGGGAACCCATGGAAACTCTGGGGGTAACATAGGCTAAAAAATATTTTCTTCAAAATCTATTTTAATTTTTTTTTTAATATTCGACTTTTTTCTTAATTCAACGGGCAACGCCGGGCACTTCAGCTTGTATTAATAAGATTCGAAATTAAACCAAAGGTATTGAATATCTGAAGTTTTTCTTTATATCTATTTTTTTGTAAAAAAAGGTTTTAAAAATCTGTCCTATTAGAATTTCTGATGTTGAAATAAACATTATACTATTACCGTTTTACAATCCGTTTTACTCTTTAGCTGATACTTAACAAAGCTTTATCTGATTACTCAAAAACTCTGTACAGCTATTTATTTGCAAGTTACTAAAAATAATCTATTTTTTAACAGAACTCGCTAAACAAATTTATGTTTTTTTACCAGTGGGGGGTAAAGGGGCGGTAGAAAGGTTTTGATGAAGGTGAAAGGTTGGTGAAGGAAATGAAAGGTTTTGATGAAGGTGAAAGGCTGGTGAAGGAAATAAAAGGTTTTGATGAAGGTGAAAGGTTGGCGAAGGAATGAATGGTTTTGATGAAGGTGAAAGACTGGTGAAGGAATGAAAGGTTTTGATGAAGGTGAAAGACTGGTGAAGGAATGAATGGTTTTGATGAAGGTGAAAGACTGGAATGAAAGGTTTTGATGAAGGTGAAAGGCTGGTGAAGAAAATGAAAGGTTTTGATGAAGGTGAAAGACTGGTGAAGGAATGAAAGGTTTTGATGAAGGTGAAAGACTGGTGAAGGAATGAAAGGTTTTGATGAAGGTGAAAGACTGGTGAAGGAAATGAAAGGTTTTGATGAAGGTGAAAGGCTGGTGAAGGAAATAAAAGGTTTTGATGAAGGTGAAAGGCTGGTGAAGGAATGAAAGGTTTTGATGAAGGTGAAAGGCTGATGAAGAAAATAAAAGGTTTTGATGAAGGTGAAAGGCTGATGAAGAAAATAAAAGGTTTTGATGAAGGTGAAAGGCTGGTGAAGGATATGAAAGGTTTTGCTGAAGGTGAAAGGCTGGCGAAGGAATGAAAGATTTTGGTCAAGGTAAAAGGCTGGTGAAAGAATGAAAGGTTTTGAGAAAGGTGAAAAGCCGGTGAAGGAATGAAAGGTTTTGATGAAGGTGAAAGGCTGGCGAAGGAATGAAAACACATTCCTCTGAAATGTTGTGAAAAGAAAGGATTTAAGGGAAGAATGTTTTCTCTGTAAACAGTGAAAGAGCTTCCACCACTATACTATAACCTCTTTTCCACACTAAACCTTTTCGGAACCTAGAAACTTAAAGCAATATTTACATTTTTCCACTTTTGATATTTATCATGACTTTTTTAAGATAAAAACATTTCAAACTCTGAAATAGAAAGACAACTTTTAGTCTTTAGTTATGACTTCAAATAGCCTAATAAACGTGAGACACAGCAAGTCTGCAGCGTAAACATTTTCTAACATTTAAAACAACTTGCTGGACTTTAAAGAAATAATAGTCTAAGCAAGTGACCGGCAATGTATGGTAGTTGAACTGAGAATGTAGTATTGTGGTTGACCATTTTTATTTACAATTGCTGAGTTTGAGCGCAAAGTCGACTTTCAAAATCATCCATTTAGGTGGTTACGTTTAGAGAATCGATTTTTTCAAATTATGAAATAACGACGACAAACAATTTAACAAAAATTCTACAGTAAACTAATTAGTTGTTTAGGAACAGGCTGATAAAATAAAAAATTAACTCTCATCATCGAAAATAAGTAATCCTATTCAGTTATTAGTTTTTGTGATGTCTCATTGTTCACAAATATTTTCTGTAATTTTTATTGAAAAGACGATATTTGAAGAATTTTCAGAAATCTGCGAACAAATACGTAAAGAAAAAGAAAATAAACATAATGATGAAAAATAAATAATTAATTCTATTGAGAAATTTGATCCTAAACATCTAATACATTTTTTGTCGTCATTTTATAGTAATTTTTAAAAAATCGATTCTCAAAACGTAACCAGCAACCACCCAAATTGATGATTTGGAACGTCGAATTTGTGCTCAAATTCAGTAATTATACATTATTAAAACGTTTTATATGTCTCAAATGAATCCTAAATAATTTCTCCATAGCACTAAATTCTCAGTTACAAGTAGGGTTGTTAATCGTTTTTGTAAACGATCGTTAAACGATCGTTTAACGATCGTTTTTTGTTTCGTTTTCAAAAACGATCGTTTCGTTTTCGGAAAAAAACTATCGTTTTTAATAACGACCCACTCGTTTTGAACTTTTAGAAAACAAATAGCGATCGTTTTTGAAAACGATCATTTTTATTAAAACGATTTGCGACCTTTTTTATACGGTTGTTTTTTAAAAAACGATCGTTTTTGAAAAAACGATCGTTTTTGAAAAAAAATCATTGACAATTATGTTAACGATCGTTAACAACGGGTCGTCGGTTTTTGGAAAAAAATTACATGCAACTTTAATGAATGTCGTCTTACATGAAGTTTAACAGTTGTGGGGGAGTTAAAACTCGTTGATATTTTCTTAAAAACTACCCAATGATAAGTACAGATGCTCTTCAGGTCGGTTTCCTCTCTTTGTTAACGATCGTTAACGAATTTATTATTACTACGAATAATAATGATAGTGTTTATATCTTATATCTTATATAAAGATTGAAATTGATGTCAATCCACTCGGCTTTTCCTCCCCCCCAACTGTGAACTCATACTCGGGAGAAAATTGCTAAATATTTTTAAAGATTAGCAAATCTATTTCTTGGGTTTAGATGGACACGTGATAAAAGATGGGGGGGGGGGCTGATTTGATATCTTTGATATCAGCACTGTATTTTAGAATTGTAATGGAAAAATTATTTCTTTGCATATATATGAGTCGCAATTTTTTAATCCACCTTGTAACAAGAGGCCCTGGGTTATCAAGCTTCTTCAGAAAAAGCTTGGACCCCCCCCCCCTTCACCCTGTTTCAAGCTACTCAGGCCTTCATTTCAAGTTTTACCTGTCTATATCTGTATTCCTACTGCTGCAGAGTTTAAGGCCGGTTTTGTGTTTTGTTTAACAAGAAAAATCTCCCAACCTCTCAGAAAACCCGCCGAGACGGTACACTGACCATCTGTGACCCAGTGCCTAAGTCACGTGACCTGTTGCTATAGTTATCCACCGGGTGTGGCGGGGAGGGGTACCGTCGACACGGTTCGGGTACTCTGTACCGGTCCGCCGGATGCCTAGAGAGAGACGGCCCGAACCCGAGCAGTGGAAGGAAGAAGGAATGTCAGTAAAGTTTGAGTGCTTGGAGTAAAAGGAACCCTACAATGATATCTGCATAACCCTGTTTAAGTGTTTGTATATATATGTATGAAGAACGTCTGAAAGACTCCTGCAGGATTGCAGGAGAGGGAACAACCAGTGTCCAGCTCTTCAGAAGCTGGGCCCAGCTTGACATGGCCAGCGTACTAACGGGTTGGTATGGGTACAATATCTTCAACATTGCTAACTTTATAGAATATGAACCTTATCCTAAACGTCGGAAACTAGACAAGCAGAACCAGTATAGAACTGTAGAAACTAGTAACAAGGAGTATGAGTTGACCCATAAGGTTCCGACAGCCATATACCGTCCTTTCTCCGACTCTACTCTTAAACAGAAGTCTAAGAGCGTTGAAAAGCATAAACCAGAGGTGGTGGTGTTGGACGAGGAGGAGGAGGAGGAGGAGTGCGTCCTGTTGGATGGTAGAACTTCAATAGATAATTTATACCCGGAGCTTTTATGTATTATCTTCCAGAAACTTGATCTTCAGACCAAAGGCCGCGTTGCTCAGGTAAAAAATATACTTTTCGAACCATGTGATAAAAATTTTGATTAATTTTTTAAAATGCGACTGTGGACTTTTTTAACATTTATTTTCTAATCAATTCAGTTCTTAGTTCTCTTCTTGGCATGAACAAAGAATTATAAAGTTTAAATCAAACTACTAAGAATCCAGATCCTTGCTGAAACTTTTCCTCCAATTTTACATGAAATTTTCATGGATAGGGGAAACTTTTTCCAATGTTTTTAAATTAAATTAACTTTCCGAAATTTGTAATTATTCCAGTTTATTTTCTAGTAGAGTTTAAAACCTTGCAACTTTTCATAACTTTTTTCAAGAGTTAGTTCATTCATTTTATGCATAATATTTTGTAGAAATGATTTTGAAAACAACAAAAGTTTTTTTAATTTGTAAATATTTCTAGGTGTGTGGAAAATGGCGGGATACAGTTTACCTCAAATCTGTTTGGAAAGGTTGTGAAGCCCGTCTTCATCTCCGGAAATCCAATCCAACCCTGTTCCCCTCTCTGGTCCGACGTGGGATCAGGAGGGTTCAGGTTCTCAGCCTGAGAAAATCCTTGAGGGAGTTGGTTAACGGAGTTCCAAACCTTGAGAGTTTAAACCTCTCCGGGTGCTATAATCTTACCGACTCAGCTCTAGATACAGGAATCAACAGAGATCTTCCAAACCTGAAAACCTTAAATCTGAGTCTGTGCAAGGACGTGACGGATAATAGTCTAGGACGGATTGCTACTCACTGTAAGAACCTGGAGAGTTTAGATCTGGGCGGGTGTACTAAAATCACCAACACAGGGCTACTTCTTATCTCATGGGGATTGAAGCAGATCCGACGGTTGAACCTAAGATCGTGTTGGCAGATTTCAGATCACGGTATCGGTCATCTTACAGGTATCAGCAACCAACCCAGCACTGGAGCAAAACAACTTCTTCAGCTCTGTCTCCAGGATTGTCAGAAAATAACGGACGAATCTTTAAAGTTTATCGCCGACGGTCTTCAAACGATCGAGAGACTTAACCTAAGTTTCTGTCTGAGTGTGACAGATACAGGGTTAAAATCTCTCTCTCGTATTCCAGGACTACAGGAGCTAAACCTACGCTCCTGTGATAATGTAAGTGATATTGGAATAGGATTTCTAGGCAATGCATCTCCTTCTAATTTGTCCTCATTGGACCTTTCATTCTGTGATCGTGTGTCCGACTCCTCCATGGCGCATATCGCCAGTGGGATGACGGGGCTCGCCTGCCTTTCTCTCTCTGCTTGTCAGATAACAGATGGTGGGCTGGCACGGGTTTGTCGAGATCTTCAACAGCTCCAGGTCCTTAACATTGGTCAGTGTAACAAGATCACTGATCAAGGGATCATGAACCTGTCTACAAATCTCAAGAGTCTGAAATCTATTGATCTGTACGGATGTACCAAGCTAACTTCATCTTCTATTCAAGCCTTAGAAAAATGTGAAAATTTGAAAATCATAAATCGGGGTTTGTGGCATCAGTTTTAGGGAACCTACAGACCCTGAGCTAGCTCTGAACCTTCTCTTAGATAGATCCTGGTCTAATAGAACCTGCTCAAAGGACGGTTGAAAGCTTGTGCTGGGAAAAGAAATGACTATTCATTCAGAATTATTTTTTCACCTCGCGTATACATTTCTTTTTCTTAATTTTATTTAAGATTGTTATGTTTTTTAATTCTGTAATATTTTGAAATTTTATCTTAAACAAAATTTAACGATGGAACACAGGAAAATAATATTTAAAGTTTAGAAACATTAAAACCTGGAAACCAAGAAAATATTTATAGATCCTGACTCAGTTCATTAGTTTATCTCTAGAACTAAATACTGAGTGTAGTTTCTCCTACTGTTTAGAGCACCTGGAGAACTGGTCTGAGTATATTAAGACCAGGGTTCACGGTTAAGCTAAACTATAGGAGTCTTAACTCTGGTTTTAGTTCCTTCTTTTAGAAAACAAATTCATTTTATACCTGGTTTAAAATTTACTAATTACTAGGTGAAAATACCAGATTTAGCAACTACAGGGTGCCCCAGAATAAATGCCTTTTTAAAAATGTTTTTCTCTTAATCTTACAACTTCAAACAAAATAGCCCATCATCCTGGATTAATTACATTTCTACTTGAACGCTCTGTATTTTTGTTTAAAATCAATGCATGATGTTAATTGATCTCTCAACCACTGTGATGCAGATTTATCTGTTTCAGCCTAGATTATATTAATTATTAAATAAATATGAAAAAATATATGTTTTTTTCACATGACCAGATATAAAGTAAAATCAATTATTACGTTAAATAGAAACGTGAAACAAAAAACATATTTGTACATATGGGATTAACCAAAAAGAATGAGATTTGTATGACAGTCGATTAAATAATATTAAATTAGAATTTAGTTTTTCGATGATTCCTAAAGCAGTTTTGCGAAGAAAGGGAGAGCTGTTTATGGAACTAGAAAGAAAACAAGACTGAATTGAGTCCCTACAGTCGTCTCTTGAAGTCTCATCCTTTGTGCACTGAGATAAAGGCAACTATGAGATATTTTTACAACTATGAAAGATAGTCAGTAAATTTTTAAATAGTCTCGCAGCGCCTTGGCCTTTGGTTTTACATCATTAACTGAACTATACTTTTTTATAGCCCTAGGCATGTAGATCTTAAAAATGCGACGCTTGTTTCTTGCTTCTGTAATAGGTTGTAATTGACGATATATGCTTGATTTTTGCGTAAATATCATTGATTTTTGCGTAAATATCATTGATTTTTGCGTAAATATCCTTGATTTTTGCGTAAGTATCCTTGATTTTTGCGTAAATATGCTTGATTTTTGCGTTTAGCGTGCCGATCTTGGTTAGTAGTGTGATGGGGGTAACCCTTTATATTTGAATATTAGAACTTACAAAAATTATTGCAAATTAAAAAGGAAAGGAAAAAAATACATTTAATCTCATGACTTCAGCTTTAATTAAATTTCACTTTTCTATTTTCATATATATATATACATTTTAAACATACATAAAATAACTTATTTATACATGTTTTTAACAGATTATTGCAGCCTGAGATTAGGTAAAGAGTCATTTTTTAATGCATTTAAAATACTTGGAGGTCGAATTATTTTAACTGTCCGATTTTACCTTGAAAGTCTGGCCGCTTGTTGCTGAATGAAATCTGTCAAATGATGGCCGAATTTGGCGGCAATTCTGGCAAGCAGTCCGCTTTTTACCGCATTGCAAATATCACAATTCAAAACTCAGCTAACCGACGTTTTAGCTTTAAATGGAATACGATCATTTATAATCCAGGGATATTCACAAAGCAAGAGACAGTAAAGACGATACGAAAGCCTCATAATATGATGATCAACAGGTTTAAATAACTTTCCTGAATTAACGGTTTGACAAAAAATCAAGTTTATAGTTAGAATATATATTACTTACAGGCGCCTCTGAAGTCCCATCTCTTGTGGGTAGAAATGAGCAGAGGCGTATTCAGGGGGGACTCAGCCCCCCCCCC